GCTCCGCCAGTCAAGGGAGGGAGCGAGAGAGGAATGCATCATGATGGTGTGATGACGATGATGTTGTGATTGGTGGTGGTGATGATGATGGTGGTGGTGGTGATAATGATTATAGTGCTGGTCCCATATCCGCAACTCCCTGATGGAGGCGTTTCAGGTGGATGCCACCTGCGACACGGCGTTCAACTCTGCCAGCATGGTCTTCATCCCGAAAATGTGGCGCATGAGGCCAACGGTATCCGCTACCATTTTCCTGGAGGTCCGTTCAGTGTCCCTGATGAACACGGACAATATATTGATGGCGAAGGCTTATCGTCTGCGTGTGGGGCCGCTGCTCGACAAGATAATATCGCTGGCTCGACGGGGCTTCTTGTCCGGCAGGTCCATGCTGCAGAATGTCGTCGAAATTGACAGCGACATGGGGGCGGCCAGCTTGCAGGACGAGCAGTCGGGTGCGGTCTTCTTCGACTTCGCGGCGGCTTTCCCGTCGCTGGCGCACGGCTTCATGGAAGATATGTTGGGATTCCTGGAGCTCCCGCCGCCGTTTCGATTCTTCGCGTCCACTTCGTATCTCGGAAGTGGTTGCAAGTTCTCCGCCGGCGGGGAAGTGCTCGAGGGCTTCAGCATCCGATCTGGGATCCGCCAAGGGTGCCCATTGTCACCTTGGCTCTTCGCCTTCTGCGGCGACCTGCTGCTCCGCCGCTTGCGGGATTCGCTGCCAGGCGACGTGGTGCGGACGTACGCAGGCGATTTGGCTTTGGTTTCGCGGTGCATTCTCCGATCGGCACGTTGCTTTGTTCCGCTCTCCGATTTCGCCGCCGTTTCTGTCTTGTCTCTGAACCTGGGCAAGACCGTGTTCGCCCCCCTCGGCGACGCCGCGGTTGAGGATGTCTGGCGCACTCTGGAAGAGCATTTCCTTGGTTGGGGACGCCCGACGAGGGCGGGAGCGAGCTCGGGAGGGGGAGGGGGGGGGAGGAGGGGGAGGAGCAGGAGGAGAAGGAGGAGGAGGAGGAGAGGAGGAGGAGGAGGAGGAGGAGGAGGAGGAGGAGGAGGAGGGGGAGGAGGGGAGGAGGAGGAGGAGGGAGGAGGGGGAGGAGAAGGGGGAGGAGGGGGGAGGAGGGAGGAGGAGGGGAGGAGGAGGAGGAGGAGGAGGAGGAGGAGGAGGAGGAAGAGGAGGAGGGGAGGAGGGAGAGGAGGAGGAGGAGGAGGAGGAGGAGGAGGAGTAGGGCAGAGTATCAAATCTCGGCGGGCGTGCGAGGGTGTGGCGCCAGGCGCTGGACCGGTACACGCGCCGCGCAGGCCTCGAAGCGCAGCTCGGGCTCGGCGTGCGCCGCGCGGCTGTCGCGTGCCACGTGCGCGTGGCCTCGCTCCCGGCTCTCCTCTTTGCAGCTCGAGGTTCTCTTTACGGGGCGTGAAAGCGACCACCGCCACTGCTTTTCTTTTGTTGCCGCCTTCCAGCCCGCAGAGACAAAGCAGTGGTTGTGGTCATTTTCGTTGAGCTTGGCACCAGGGAAATGACCACAACCACTGCCCCTTTTTCGGCCGGCTGGAAGGCGGCGCAAACAAGAAGCAGTGGCTGTGGTCATTTTCCCGTCCCGCACTCCTGGAGGAGCGGGAACATGCTGAAGCAGCGGCCTTTCGTCGATTAGTGCTTGGTCCGGCCCACTGGATCCTTCCTGCCGATCTTCGTGCTTCGCGGCGGCATTGCGACATACCTCGGGAGTTCTCTGACATGCAGGAGGTCTCTCTGTCTGCTCGTTCTCGGGTGGCCTACCGGGAAGCAGGCGTTTCGGGCGGCCTGACAATAGACGACACTGTTCGCCGCTTGAGTTCTGCTCTTCACGGGGCAGGTTCTTTCTTGGTGGTATTCTCGGTGGACCTCCTGGTTCCAGAGCTCCTGAGTGCACAACTGGTTGGCGGCGGTAGCCACGTGCTGGCAGGCGGGCATCACAGTTGACGCAGTCGAGGCGGATCTTGGCGCCAGCGCGCCCCGCCCCCACAACCGTGGCCACGCTCGGCGCTTCGCCCGCGGCGTCCAGAGGGCCGCCGGGCGTCGTGGACGCGCGCCTTGCGCAGCCATCCCGAGGTGCGTTTCCGTGCGAAGCTCTAGACATGGCGTCTGCTTCTGGTCCCTCGGCCGCGCGCGGCCCGCGCCGCTGCCGAGCTGCGGCGTCTAGGCCTGCTGGTGCCTCCAAGGGTCAGTGCCGCAGTGCTGCGCTCGCTTCGATGGGTGGTGCACGGCGCGTCGCTTCCAGTCTGGCGGCCGCTGCATCTTCGGGTGCGCCATGGGCGAGGACGCCGTGGAACACTACATGGGCTGCGCCCGATTACATCGGCACGGGCAGCGGCGGCTTCGGCTCGCCGCCCCACCGACCTTCGAGGACCGCGGGTTGAACTTCTCCCTGCTTGGGGCGGCCTCCCGGGGTCCCAGATGCACTTCTGGTTCGACGTGCGGTTTTGCTCACTGCCGCCTATAGGATAAATTGCCGGGTGCTCCGCAGCCCGCCCGTTTCTGAAGAGGACACGTTGCGATGGGCACTGGGCCAGACGGTCGAAGAAGCAACGGCTGGGCACGCAGGCGCCGTCGGGGCCCTCGACGCTGTCTGGGCCGAGTGAGATTTCTTGGCAGGCGCCTGGAAGGCGCGTCGCCGCAGACTACAACCAGCTTGCGCGACTCTCCTCTCTCGTCTCCTCTGTTCTCGTCCTCCGCCTCTTCCCTCCCTCCCTCCAACTGTCATGGTTCGAGGAGAGTCGCAGCCCGGCGATGCTTGCCGCGCGCTGCGAGGACGGCAGACTGCGGCAGCAAGCGTGCGTGCCCGTTGTTGCCCTACCTGGCTTCCCCTCCTCGTCCTCCCTCCCTCCCTCCCTCCCTTCCTCCCGCCGCCCTTCTCCGGGCGCCTGGACTGATGCCACGAGGCGCCCGCCGCGCGCCGCGAGGACGGCGGACCGCGCACCAAGCGTGTGTGTGCCCGTCGTTTTCCTCCCCTCCTCCCCCGTGCTCGGCCTCCATTCCCTGTCCCTCTCGGGGTGCGCGTGCTCTGGTGGCCTGGCGCGCTGGAGGGAGGGGGCACTTTGGCCAGAGCTGGCCCGTGCTCGGCCGCTCGACGTAGCTTGTGCGGCAGAGCACGCGGCCACGGCCATGGCCGCAGGCCTATCTGGTGGAGTGCAGCGCGCCCAGGCCCGCTCGACGCACGCGCGCTCGTGGCGTCTGTCCTGGCCGTGTGGCCGATCGTTGGCGTGCACAGCAGGTCCCTTTTCTCCTTCCCGTTCTTTCCCTCCTCTCTCCCTCTTCTGGCTTTGTCTATTGCGCCGTCTCTTGGAGGGCGCGTTGGCGAATAGAGGAACGGCTGCGTCTTCCGATTGAATCCAGTCTTCGACTGTAGATGCGGTGTCGGTTGCCCGGCCGGCCTCCGGTGACCTTTCGGATGCCCCTGGAGGCCTTTGAGTTCACCAGCCTGGGGCGGAAACGTGGGCGGTAATTCGTTGCCAACGTGTCATGCGGTGGTGGCCAAACCGTCGACCAGCTTTTCATCGGCCGCGCGGCAAGGACACGATAGCTTGCAGCACCGCCTGCACGGAGAGTAGGTTGGCTCCTGTGGACTAGCTGCTTTCCTTCGGCCCACCTCCCCTCTCTCACTCGTCCCCCTTCGTCATCCTCCCCTCCTTCCCCTCCGAATCGTGGCGCAGCGTTCTTAGCCCAGGCTGCACGTATGGCGGGAAGCCGGAGCGCTCGGCTTGAGCATGGTGTTTCCCCTGTCCTATCCTCCCTCCTCCCTCCTCCCTCCTCCTGCACGCGCCCAGGCCTCGCGTTCCCCTCTTTGCTCACGGTCTTGGCAGCACCGCTGTCTTGCTTTGTTCGCCGGCTGCGAGCGTTTTCGCGACGCTCCGACCTGCGCTAGAGGTCGGTTTGGGGACTGCCTCTGCTTCATATTTCGAACTTGTCACATCTGCGTGATGATTTCATGGCTGAGCCCCGCTCGCCCACTGTATCCACTTGACACGGGCACTGTTGAATTTCCAGCCTCGGCTGGCGACACTTTGCGTCGGCTGAAATATCCTGGCCATCTGATGCCGAGGGCGACTGCAAGTCAATCGACAGATCTCCTTCTCCTCTCCCCTTCCTATTTTCCTTCAGCCAGTGCGTGTGTCTTCTATTGTTCGGCTGATTAGGCCAATTGGGGATGTCCACGCAGCATCTTTTTCGCTCTCCCTCACCGTGCTTCCTTCCTCCTCCTTCTCCTCCACCTCTTCCTCTCTTCTCCTTAAGCCGAGTCCGGGCTATTGCTCGTTTTTTCCCAACCAACCTGTGTTGTTGGGTCCTCGTTTTGAAGAGACGGTGGCCCGCGTCTCCTCTCCTCCTCCTCTCCTTCTCCTCTCCTCTCCTCCTCCTCTCCTCTTCCTCCTCCTCCTCCTCCTCCTCCTTCCGTAGCCATTTTGGCTCAAGAGTCCATGTCAGGAGGGGAGCCCCGCGCACGCGCTCCCAGCTCTCTTGCATGTCGATGGTGGCGTCTCTTGCCCCTGCTCGCGGGGTGGAGCCTATGCTGTGATATGGTGCACACGCGGAGTGCAAGCGCTCGCGAGGCTCGGCGTCTTCGAGCTGTGCGTCTCCACTTCGTTCGCCCTCGGCCTTTTCAACAGCGCTTCATTGAGGTTGCCGAGCCTCTCGTCCACAATGCTCGTGCTGTGGTCCGTGGGCTTCAATTGCATGCTGACCTTCAACAACGTAATGGATTTCGCTCTCATCTCCTTCGCGACGCTGTTGCTGCGGCTGGGCCGGCGCTCACCGCCGAGGAGCGGCAGACGATGCTCAAGGAGAACTCCCGCGCTGGGCGGGCCAAACATCGTATTCCTCTTCTACCTGCCGATGGTGCGCCGCAGCCTGTGGCGAGTCCCCCTTCGCCTCCGAGAGTGGCGCTCCGTCTGGATGAGCGTTTGTCCGCTCCGTCTGCGGACACTCTGGTGGCAATGTCGCACATGCTTTCTGCCTTCGCGTTCGGGCT